TGCTGAGAGCCCTGCTCCAAACCCCCACGATTTGAAGAACCCCCAAATCATGCCTTGCTCTGCAAGGCCACTCAAGTCCATCAACCACCCCAAGAGATTTTGTTCCCTGAATACAAAGATTCCACAGGCTCAGCCTCACACAACAAACGTGCCAGCCAAGCATTTGCCCTGCAGCTTCACCTCAGCTTCATGTTTCCCTTCTCTGCAACATCCTGACTTAATCTTGGCATTTACTCTGGCACCAGAGCCCCAAACCCAAGGGAAACAAACCCATTTCTAAGGCCACTTGAGGGGCTGGAACTCACCGTTGGCATCTGGTTTGTTTTTTTCCTCCTTCAGGTGTAAATTGCTCAGCTACAAGTGAGGAAAAAAAACCACAAAATCAGGGTAATTCAGAGGTGCCCATGCCTGTGTTTTCCTAATGGTCAGGATATAAACCTGAGCTTTATCAAGGCTTCTGGATCTGTCACCAGCTACAATTGTTGTGGAATGAACACCAGGCTTGAAGGCAAACACAGTGAACTGGGAATCCAGGGGTTTTAAGACAAATGACACTTTTTTCTAAGCTGTAAGGATGATGGGAAGAAGGGGTTTGGTTCTTATCTCTGCTCCCTGGTAGTTCTTCTGATGGCAAATGGGAGAAAATTGACATTCCAGGAGGGAAACTCAAGCCAAACTGTTCTGGGGTGAGTCTCTCTTGCCAAGGGTTTGTTTGACCCCCAGGAATATGGGGGGGAGAGGAGCCCTGAGGCTCTTCCTGCCCAGCCAGGGGCCCTGCTGATGCTCTGCACCCTCAGCAAAGCAAAACACCCCAACAGGTTCAGTTCTTGTCAGCAAAATATGAAAGGCAAGGTGGGTTTTTTGGGGGGCTGTGGGTGGTGACCAGAGGGTCAGGGGCTGCCCCTGGCAGGGCTGAGTGTGGGTGGAGGAGGAGGGGGAAGAGCAGGGGCCTCCCTGCCCCTCGGAGGCAAAGGGAAAAGGAGTTTTTATAACGTGGGGGAAAAGAAAAGGGTGGTTTGGGTGCTTAAGGAAGGATCCCGGGCGGGGAAGCCGGGAGGCTGAAAGGGGCCGGACAGAGGCTGCCCGGGCAGGAAATGAGGGGGAAAAGGGTTTTCCAGGGCTGCGGGGTTTGTGAGGAGGAGGAAGCGCAGCCCGGACCCCGCACCCCCAAACCTCGGCACCCCAAGGCCCCGCACCCCAGGGCCCCGCAACCCCAG